TTTTCTAACTAAAAAAAAAATTAGTTGGGGAAGGCAGCCCCCCTCCATTCGTCCCTAATCCCATTGTTTTTGTTCATACACTACATTGTTAAATGTATAAATATGTTGTTGTTATTATTATTATTATTATTATTATTATTATTATTATTATTATTATTATTATTATTATGTGAACGTAATATATAGTTGATCATTATGTTTTATATCATTAATATTTTTCATGACACATTCATGCATGACAATAAATCTATAAGCATGCATGAAATTTTCAAAGACATGAAAAGCTTTTTAAATGTCAATGTGAGAAGGAACATTTTTTCAAAAAAGATTTGTATTCCAAATATTTTTATTACGAGGTGTATGTCTATGTCATGAAAGGTATAAGTGGGAATGGACGTGGTGGACCAGCGCACTCGACCAATATTCAATGAAAATATTAATGTTAATCGCTTTGCGATACTATCGATAGGATTCGATCGAGTTCTAAATAATAATTACTCACTGCATTTTGATTGGTTAGACGATACACCAAGTGAGCTCACAATGTCAATGTAAAGTTTTTAAAGAAATGAGATAGATATTGAGAAATGTTTTTTATATTAAACTAAGTCATATGAATGAGATTTGCTTACTGAGCGTTAGCTCATTCCAAGATATTCCTTCCCATTTTTCAGATGATGAAGGCAAGATGATGCGAGGTGACAACTTGTAATGACACGGACTCGGTATTATCATATTTAAATATTGAATTTATTTTAGTAATTAAAATTAAAATTCGATTTAATTATTCTATATTTTGTTGACCAAATATTATTTTAAAATAAAAGTCATTGATATTTATTATGTGAAAGAAAAATTGTAATTGCTTTCCATTTATGACTTTTAAGTCTTAAGAGATTATTAAATGATGATACTTCCAGATCAGATATCTAGATTTGGGAGTGTTGCAATTTGGTATTAGAGCCTAAAGTTATAAAATCAATTCCGTAGACTTCAAAAATACAATTAAAAAGAAAATAAAAGGTATCGTACTGAGTTCTTATCACAAGGGGTCTTCTCGTGATCATCTGATAAAGTTGAATTAGA